TATTTAAAAATTACTTTCATGTTAAAAATTATTGAGTTATATATGGTAAGACCTTAGACTTTGTAGCAAATAAAGAAAAGAAAAAGCTCATAACTAGTTTATATAAAAATTTGGTTCATAAAAAAATAATTTTTTTAGTTCTTTGTGAAATTGTATTTGACACAACTTAATTTTTTAAATAAAAAATGTAAATTAATGCGATAAGTCAACCTGCTTTACTATAATAAGATAAATGAGCGTTTTAAATAATTTTAGTGAGCTAATATTATTTTTATTTTCCTAAAAATTTATTGAGTAACAATATTTGTTTGGATCATACAGGAGAGCCTTTACCCAAATTAGGATTAGGCCGGCCCTGTAAAGTTGTGTGCCACAAAAAGTAGTTTCACCTTCTAATTAAATTTCAGATCAGAATATAAATCTACATCCTTCCTTGGATAAAAAATGAAAAATTGCAACTAATTAACACATTCTTTAAAATATTTTCTAAATAAACTTTTAATTATTAGATAAAATTATAAAAATTATGTGAATTACACTTTTTTTATTTTAATATTTTTTTTATTTTTATAACGTTTAATAAAATTTAGTTAATAATTAAGAGTGTGTTAAAGAATGAGTTGTTAGAATTGCCTTCCTTTTAAGAATAGCTGTTTTGTTAATTTAGTTTTCTCAAAGTTTAAGTCGATCATTTAACGGATGGTACGAAGCCAGAGTTTTGTTTCATGCATGATGTCACAAAGAACATTTACATTCAGATTTTCCAATTAATGCAGACAGAAAAATGATGTAAACATGTAATCAGTGATTGTGCTTCAATTAAGATCGAGCTAAATGAGGATAGAAAAACGATATTTAGGGCCCCCTATATTTAATGAAACTTACGGGTATTGCGGTTTAAATTAAACTAGATAATAGAAATTCGAAACCACTTATAATTACACAGCATACGAACAAAACGCAATCGTATTTCTCATCACAGAAACAAGTGGTTTTTGCTATAATTAATGAGAAATAATGTCTTGATCGTTTATGATCATGTTTTTCATAATTTAATAGTCTCACTACTCAATACGTTATTAAACATTAACTTTTTTTATTAAAAATTATGGTACGATTAAATATATCTGTAGTATTTAAAATAAAAAATTAATTTGTATGCAGTTATCATAATTGATTTACTTTTAACATTTTAGAAACTCATTGTCACTATTTACTGATGACCTGGACAAAACAAAGAAAATATCTTACCACAGGCAGCCAAACAAAGACTACCCAGCGCAGCATAGAGTTGAATGTGAGGTTGGAATAGATAGCTAATAGCTTCACTCTTAGAAGTAGCAGTAAGAGAAGTGCAACAAAAGGTATCAACTTGGATCTTCAGTATTCCACTGTAAAATACCTACCAAGACCCATAGGGTCATTGTTAATTATGACATGTATTTTACGCACCACTTGTCCCTGCTCTACACTATGATTTCCAAATGGTTGCAACTTCCTCAATTTTTTGTCAAACAAATTAATTACATATACTTTAAGGAGCAAAAGGTCCTCAAAGAATTCGAAAAAAATATATATAGAACGGTAAGCGGTCAAGACACGGATCTCTGTAACGTGTGGTAAGTTCACATTCGAGCTTTAGCCAAAGGAGAACGAACTAACAATATATCAATTGATATCATTAGATAGCTTCGCATAGAGATTTTCTCATACAATATACAATGGATTAATAAGACATATGGGTCATCTGTAATTCCATTTTCAACTCCACCTCCCTAGGCTGATTTTTTAAACAAATTTAAGTATAATATTTTAAGATTTAATATAAATATTTTGAAATGAAAATTAAGATCATAAAGTGATAGAGTAAGAATTACCTATCATTGATTTAAATTTAATTATTAATTTTATAAACATAATTATCTTTAAATCAACAGTGAACAAGCCTTCACTTTTTTATTTGAGAAGATCTCGATCTAATGTTTTAACATAGAACAAAAAAATAAATTAATTGTGACAATCCCATGCAGAATTTTTCAAAATTGTGAAACAGATCATGATTCTAAATTATTAGTATTAACACTTACTATTTTTTTTTTTTAATTTCTCATACATACATTGTAAAAAGTGTCCAACATATATGAATTATGCTGCGCATTCTGGGTCGTCCTTGTTTCTCTTGCTTTGTTGTGATTCAGCCCTGCACCATTGAATTCATGCATGTACGGTATAAAGATGGGTAATTTTTATAAAGCCCTTGAATTCTTTTGTCGTGGTTTACGGTTCAACAAGGGCAAAAGTCACCATGCATATATGGTGCGTAATTAACTTTAGTTTACACCCTCAAGTACTGTATCGTTTGGTTGGAACAAAAACAAAATTGCTGCATTATTTCCGGTTAACACAAAAACAATTTGTCAATCCTTGTTTGATCATGAAGTTAATTCCACAGTGATAAGAGAAAACAATTTTAATTAATTAGCTAATTATATGCAGGACCTAGATTACATTTGGATTTAAAAAGTGACATTGATCTCCACATTCTGCATTAGAATGGGGAGACCTTAGTCAACTCCTATACAACTGGACATGATATGTTTATTTTGTAGCCAATAGTGTTTCCCAGTAAATATAACTAAAGATGAAATAAGTTGATATTAAAAAATTAAAGTATGGCAGAAGTGTTTCGCAATTTACATAGAGGAGACTCAGGAGGAACTACATAGTATACAAATTGCCATGCTTTTCGCTTCCGCCATCTCTCTATCTTTTAGCACAAGCCAATCTTATTATTATATAAATGATTAAAATATAAAACTTTAACAATTCCAAACAATTAATAAATGTTTATTGTTTTCGTTAATTTTTATAATCATTAAGTATTTTGCATGTTATACTTGCATACAGAGTCACTGGTATTACTTAGATTGCTTGCATCAAATTTTATGAAATTTGAATATTAATACAAATATAATTAACGAGTTTGTTGTTTATATTTTTAAATATATATATATATATATATATATTAATAAAGTATTAAATAATTTTAGATTAATTTAAATTTTGTAGACGTAATATATATGAAAAAAATTAATTCATTGTTAGTTTTTTCATTAAACTATCTACTAAATTTTTTTAAATAATATAAAAATAAATTTAATTTACACTAGTACAAATTAATTCTTCTCTCTCATTCATACATTGATTTTTTTAACAATTGTCTTTAAGAAAAGCCGTTAAAGAATTAAAATATAATATTTAATATTATAAACATTAACGTAATAATTTTTAACATTTTTCATTAATTTTTTAATTATTATCTTACGGTAATAGTTAACAAAATTATACGTGTGTGTATACACATACTGTATCATATCAGGTAGCATCTTATGCTTAAGTAGTTAGTTAATAGCGACGTAACTTTTGTGTTGATGGTAGAATTTAATTGAAATATATTAAAAATATAAAAAAATACAGTCATTATTTAAATAATTAAAATTATATTAGCAAGAATTATAATTTTTTATAATTGATTTAAAATTTATATTTATGATATATTTTAATTAATTGACAATATTGAGATCAATAAAGTATTAAAACTAAGTGGTTAGTTATATTTTTAGATCATTTATTGAGTAGGGTTAGGTGAAAATAGTATAAAAATGATCTAAAACTGTACTTTTTAATTACTAAATGCAGTGAATGAATAGAAGAAATGAAGGGAATTGGAAGAGGTTTGGTCTTTCCTTGAAAAAATCCATTTTTATAAGACAGACACAGACACAGTGGTTGGGTGCATTGGGAATTGGAAACCCATCTTCATGTCATGTATTCCTGTTCTTCCTCCACTTTGACTTTTTGGTTGTCCTCACTTATGCATATCAATCAACGACACGTGGCTCATCCCCATTCGTTGTTTTATAGATCATATTACGCAAAATGCATGCCCCACTACATCACGTGTGCATGATTGACTCCGATGCACGATACCTTTTTTCTTGCAATAATTTATCATAGCTTAATACATCGATATTATTAAATATTATGAATTATAATAAAAATATATTATATATAATATTGCACAAATTAGATAAACTGTAATAATAGTAGTTTAATTTTAAAAGTTGAAATTAAATAATTAATAATAATAATTTATTATTAAAAATATTTTTATAAAAGATTATTTCTTTTAAATACTTGAACTCATTTTTAAAGATTAGGGTTAACAAAATACACACTCATACATATTTTTTCTTTTACTGCTACTACTACTAATAATAAAGAATCATATTAATTAGTGTTATAAATTAAAGTTTTAGTTAAGAAATTAAAAATTGTATTAAAATAAAAAATATATAATTTAATATTTATTTAAATAAACATTAATTTTGTTAATATTGATATATTTTAAATATTTAAAAGTACATACTAAATGTTTGTTAAAATGTATTTAATGTATCAAAGTATAAAAACATAATGAATATTTTCATAGAATTTAATATATTTAGATATATAAAATTAATTTTAATAATTTCTGTTAACAATTCATAAAAAAAGTGTGACAATATTTTTAGAATTATTATGATTGATTGCCCAAAAATAATGACTGATTTATGAAGGGAAGAGTAATCATCATCATGCAATAACTTTACACATTTATTAGCTTTCTCTATCTGTTGTACGTGTAACTCACTATAACATTATCTTTGTAAGAGCCACCAGTAAAGGAAATTATATGCATTTATCACCAGACATATATATATATATATAGTGGCGAGGTCAAGATCGTCATTCTAATTCCAGTGGCTAGGTATATCCTTCTTGGTATTTACAGCTTGCTTGGTCTATGCAACTTGAAGCAGAAGACCCATATTCGATGGAAGCTTCATAAACACACCCTTACACGTTTTTCTTCGTTACCTTTGTACTTAAATTCCCTAACTTCTCATGCATGGTGATCAATAGTAATTAGAAAGCTCCCTCAATTTGGTCTCCTTTATCCGCTCTTATTTTGCAGTATCCCTCAAGTCATTGTTTCGTTTCCAAGTGAACGATATAATTAACTTATATAAGGCATCAAAACCCAAATTCAAGAAGAGTTTGTCTCTCCATGCAAGTAAGCAACTACTTAACTTATTGAATATCTCACAGGTCCTAATTTTAATTTCAAGGATTTACTTTTCTTACTCTACTTGAAGAAGCCAAAAGTGTTTGTAATTAATCTTTCTCCCAAGGGTATATGCTAATAGCTAACTCTTTTTGAGCAGCGGATTCTGAAAATAATGGAGAGCTTAACTGAACTTTCTTCAACCTTTTGTGAACCTTTCTAATTTCTAAGATGTGTATAATCATGTCACGTTTTGTGTGGTACAGAAAGAAAAGGAAGCAATTATCAAGGAAGGGAAGGATATAGAAATGGAAGGAACTCGTGCAAAGGAGGAAACCCTACCGCCGGGATTTCGATTTCATCCAACAGATGAAGAACTTGTTACTTGCTATCTCGTAAATAAGATATCGGACTCTAATTTTACCGGCAGAGCAATAACTGATGTAGATCTGAACAAATGCGAGCCATGGGAGCTTCCAGGTACGTTGTTATTATCTATATATGTTTTTTTATGTGTATGTGAAATTCGTTACTTTATTGTTGCAAAAAAATAATTCATTTGATTTTGCATTTCTCCTTATTCATGCACTCTCGTTTAACATGAAATGAAATAGATCCATGAAAATTGTGTTTCTTATTTTGGTTTATTGATTATTGTTTCAATTGCTCTTTTAGTCTTTTTGCCCATATTTTGAAAATAGTCAGCACTTTACATCTAGGGTTTCTTCATAATATAGGGTATTCTTTTTATGGACAATTGAGATGCACTTAATTATATATTCCAGATGTTTATTAAATTACATGGAGCACTTTAATCATATATATATATATATATATATAGGTTGACGTTTGTCTTTCTTGCGATATGGATAAGATTTACGTGCTATTATAAATAATTTGAAAATATGGATGTATCCTACGTCCATTTTCTAATCAAATACAAGAAAACAAAAGATTATTAATACGCAATATATTATAGGCAGATGTTAATTTGTTGTTTTCTAATAATTTTTCATGAAATAGGGAAGGCGAAGATGGGAGAAAAAGAATGGTACTTCTTCAGTCTGAGAGATCGTAAGTACCCAACAGGGGTGAGAACCAACAGAGCAACAAACACGGGGTATTGGAAAACCACGGGGAAAGACAAAGAGATCCTTAACAGTGTAACATCGGAGTTGGTTGGCATGAAGAAGACTTTAGTTTTCTACAAAGGAAGAGCTCCTAGAGGAGAGAAAAGTAACTGGGTCATGCATGAATACCGCATTCACTCAAAATCAACCTTCAGAACTAACAAGGTATTTATTTATACACATATAACGCATGCAGAAGCACTTTTTGCTTCTTATAACAGATTGAAATCACTTATCCTCATGTTTCCGTCCTTTTCTTGTCCTTCAAATTAAAAATAAATTACATCCTTTCTCCTAATTATTAGTTTTTGTTTATTAAAATGTTAATTTTTAAAAATAAAGACAAGAAATAAAACAGGAAACGGGGACAGATTATCCTCGTATTATTTTCAAAAGGGAAATACTAACAGTAACTTCAGAATGCTGATGCAAGAATTAAAAATGAAAAAATATATTAAAAAATGTTAATAATACATTTTATCATGATTTTAAATGCACATTTAATATAATTTCTAATAAAAATTTTCTTAAATTAATCCCTGAATCAGTATTTTAAAGTATTAATTAAAATACCCTTTAAAAAAATAAGAATTGGTCATATAATGGAGCTATATATATATATATATATATATATATATATATATATTCTTAATTACTCATCATTTAAAAAAAAAAAAAACATTTTGCACTAACTATATAATGCACGGCAGGATGAATGGGTGGTTTGTCGGGTATTTCAGAAGAGTGGTGGTGCAAAGAAGTACCCTTCATCCAACCATGCAAGAGCAGCGAATCCTTACAGCTTGGAACTAGGACCAAGTATTATACCCCCACCAATGATGCAACTGGGAGACCCAGCTTCTCATTTCCTTTATGGAAGAAATTACATGGCAAGTGCAGATCTAGCTGAAGTAGCAAGGATTTTGAGAGGGGGTGGATCAACCAGTAGTGTTAACGTACCAATGCAGTCTCAGTTTAGCTATCCTGTATCAGCAGCTGGAGGAGAATTCACCATTTCAGGACTTAATTTGAATCTTGGAGGAACAGCAGCAACCACTACACAACCCATTTTGCGGCCAATGCAACCTTCTCCACCTCTTACTCACACAATGGTTCAAGTACATGATGTTAGTTCCAACATGATGACACCTAGCTCTCTTGGTGCGGAGAATAACGCAGGTTTTGCCACAGAAATGAGCAACGCAAATTCTCATGGCAATAGGTATATGGGTATGGACAATTGCATGGATCTAGACAACTATTGGCCTTCCTACTAAATTACGAGACCTTCATTAAGTTTATTTAGACATAATCTAGTGTTATTATAACTGTAGTTGCATCGTTATGTTTCGAAGTTTAATTTCATGCGGGTATCCTAGTGATCTTGTACCCTTTGCATCAAGTAACTTTTTGAATGTTATATTGTTTTTCGATTACTACAGTCTTTTCTTTCTTGAGAACAGCAATATATATATATATACACACACACACAAGGTCGTGATTGCATTTACCTTGTCCCTGGTTATTTGCCAGTTATTGCGATTCATTGTTTTCTTTCCTAACGTCAGTTGGGACCAGCTAAATTGATATATTATAACTTAGAAGGGATCGCGATTATTACATGTGATCTCTTTCTTTTCTTTTTTCAATCCTTTGGTATTCAAAAAAATATTTTGGATTATTAATTTGATCGGGGCTATGTAAACCTATTCAAGAAAGTAAAAAAAAATTAATACTTTTTTTTTTCATTGATAAGACTCAAACCTGAAATTCTAAGGAAAATTAAGCTCCTTGGCATTGAAACCAACGTTGATATTTAATGTACTCTTTGGATATATTACTTATACATCATTATTATTTCTAAGGGGTCGGTTTAATTGATAAAATGTGGAAAACCCATTGGGTAGGAATTTGATTGCTCACTTGCGTAGCTGATTATCAGCAAATGCAATCTCTAAAACATTTTTTTAAGTTGACAGATGGGGCAGCAGCTTGAAAAAGGATAAATACATCCTCCACCCAATGCAATAGTACTTTTTTTAAGATAAGCAAAATTTATTAAAACAATACGAGGGTGCATACAAAGTTCAGAAGAGGCAAGGAGTTCCATACCAAAACAGGTATTACATATTCAAATTTATTTTCTTTTATATCTATTTTTATTTTACTTTTTTATTATTATCACACAATTACATTTCTTCCGTGCACTTATTTCACATCCTAAAACAAGAAAATAATCATTTTCCAAATTGAAAATAGCAAAGAGACTAGAAACCTGCATCATAGACAACAATGGGAAAATGCACCCACTAATTCAACAATCTCACCCTTTTCAATCTAAAATACGAGTCAAATCAAGGCTCCATTTATCGAAAATGATCTCATTCTTCGTTAACCCCAAAGACACAGTATTATGAATATAAATAATATTTCTGAGTAATATGTAAATGTAGAGTGAGTGTGCAGTGGATGGTCCATTAGCCCATTTTTCATTCAACTAATTAACCTAGTCCTCTAGCTTCCTATTTGAAAGTTGGGTGGAGGGTGTTGAATCTGTATTTCCTTTCCTTCCTCCAACATGTTAGCAAAGACCTTTGGAATTTCCTAGTGAACAAGTTTTTCTTCCGTCCTAGCTTGTAATTCCTGAAAGACGGGCAGACTGAAACAATTTTGGCGTTCAGAAATTTAATTTGCCCCGCAATGTACGTTTATAAGGCAGAAAAATGAGCAAAAATATTTTTGAATAATTTTTTATTAATATTTTTACAATGTAACAGAAATAGGGAAAAAATAAAGAGTAATGTGAATAAGATACGCTATGCAATAGAAAAAGTTAGAGAAAAAAATTATAATAATTTTTTATTTATGTATTATTACTAAGAAACATAGTTAATGAGCCTGGAGACTAGCTAATTCCAGAGACATTATTGATTATTGGGTACTATACGCTGTGTATTATACCGCAATTAAATGACCATCCGTGTGATTCTCATTGTACAGATGAAGATTGTTTGTATGTGCAAGCTTAAACATTGGAGCGGATCGTGCTTGCTTGTTTTACTACTAGAATCAATTCTTCTTACTGTATACATGATTTAATGCAAACTTTATGACTAAGATTAATTTTAATATATATATTTTAATTGTGATCAATAATTTAAAATTAATTCTATCAAATCTAAAATAAACGCATATAATATCAGAGCCTTGAACAAAGTACGAAGTACAAAACTTTTGCCATTAAAAAATATTATGCGCAGCCTGCCAAAAATCACAGAAACTTGCAGAAATCATTCTTAGTAACGTTTCCGTGAAGATCATAAGAAAATAAAACGTCGTGCCCGAAAATGATCTCGAAGTCTATTGAGTAAAGTGATTCTAATGTTGAATGAAGGACATCAAAAGCCAGGTTTGGAACTGACATACCCAAATCAGTCTTTGCTTCCTTTCAACGAACCTGCTGAGCAACCGATCTCATGGTTAGTTGAAGAAAGGGGATAGATGTATGCAAAATGTGTTTGACAAAGGAAAGGGAATCAATGGATCAAACACCGCTTAATTGAGGCTTGAAGCAAAAACGAATTTTGGCTGTTTTTTAAAAAATAGTAATATGCTAGTTTGCAGCTAAACCCATTTAACCCGATCAATGCATCTAATTGGGCCAACAAATTTTGTCCAGCGGACAATGGGTTGAAAGTTTTGCAAACCAACCTACATATTGAAATGGGTTTGTCTATGTTAGTTATAGAAGCTTGACAAAAAAAGTGTTCGTTCTAGAAGGTGGCAATTTGATTTTACGCCCCTCATTTTTTTGTCACACATTCTTGAAATTGTTTCCTTACTTTTGAAAATAATTTCTAAAAAAATAAATACATTCTAATAGGTAAATTCGGAAAGTGATTATAAATCACTTCTAAAATATAAATTTTTGGAAGTATTACTAATTAAATTTTCGGAGTTGGTGTAAAAAGTTTCGTCTAAAACCAACAATGAAAAGGTGTACCTTACAAATATCACGCTTTTCAACCAAGCGATAATAATCGCACGATCAGTGTTCTTATAAAACCAGACTGCACAATAATATTATACAAAATCGATCAAAACAAAGTAGTTCCGGTTCAATTCACTTCCAATTTCATCTTATAATTAATTTTAGTCTTCTAATTTTTATCACATTTAGTTTTCACAAGTTCTGAATAATTTAAACAAAGTCTCTTACTCCAAAATGCCATCCAATATCAAATATAACATGATATATCATTAGTTTTATAAAATCTCAAAGGAAAATATATAAAATATTTAAATAAAAATTAAAAACAAAATGTAGAGTATAGCAAAATCCAATTTTTTTTTATTATTTGAATATTTATATATTTTCCATAAAAATTAATAATATATCATACTTTGTTGTACTTTTATTAATTACTGATTAATATTGTAGAGAAATTTAATTTGAACATTTAGAAATAAAAAGTTATAAATTATTACAAAGTAAAAGTGTAACCCATGAATTAGTTTCTTTTAGTAATAAATTTCTAGTTCCACATAAAACAGCAACAGGGGCAGAACTAGTTATGATTCTAACTAACATAATAAATTAAGTGGAAACATTTGTGCAAAGTCTAGTAACAAATATAACACAAGCCATAATACATGAACATCTAGACATGTATCCCCAACTCTACAGTGAAAACATCCTGAAGTTACCTCACCCAACAAAAAAGAGAAGCAAAATATTCAAACCCTGCCGCACAGGAAAGATATAGCGCCAAATAAGCCCATGCCAACAAGAAAAATCATCTGCATCAAACAGAAACACTGTTTTCAGCATTACATTTAAATATGACTAGTGAAAAAATAAAAGACATTACTGCATAATAGACAATAACCCGGTTAGTTAACGAAATAAGAAAAACTGCATTACATTAGCTAATTCATAATTTCATCCACATATGTGCAGCACCACCACGTCTAAACGTCCAATCCTCTCGCACTACACAAGAAATTTGAGATTTTTGTAAACTTCACCATTGTTCCCAAAGCAATAGGACCCATTTCAATCAACCAAGCTATCTTCTCCTACTATCGGCTGAAATCTTATGTCTCCTAATGCATTTTAATTAGTAAGATATTTAAAAAATTAGATTGCAAAAAAGACTTATATCGAGTGACACTCCCTTCAGAGAATGTGATCAATGACATCAAATCCCCACTTTTAATTCTGCAAGGTAGGCAGCCCTTACCCCCAACAAACTATGATTCTTATACAGAAATTCGTTTTACCCTCAACAAATGAAATAACATAAATTGACACAACCTAGGCACATTCACTATACTGACTTAAACATGCTTTGGAACTTAATGTTTTTCCCCAGCATGCTATTGACTTATTAAACTCCACAACAGGATATCAGAAAGACAGGAGGAATATTGTCAATCCTCGCAAACAAAACAGTTGCAATACAGTGGAATCCATGAGTAAAATTAAGATTGCAAAGGGCAACAGGTTAGCTTAAATAAGCTTTCCAAACTCATTAATTCAAAACAAAGAGGTTTGTGTATCTAGAAGGGCAAAAAACAAATTTTCAAGAAGTTAAGCTCAACACCGAAATTATTTCCCTTAATTGAAAATAAAAAAATCCAAGATGAATATTATAGTATACTTTTTTTTTGTGCATCAAGGATATCCCCAATCACTAACAAGAAACTAATCCTTTCAATGTGTACAAATCCCTTCCCAACAAAAACTTTTCCATCCACACAAACAAGAATCAAGCGTACCCTTCTAATTAGCTCCTCAATATTGGGTCAAATTCATGTGGAAACTACTAAATAAGGAGTGTCACCGGCATCACTTAGTGGAACCCAAGTGAATTTACTCAATAATAGTATGTCAAAGTGTGTTGAAATTATTCCGCATTAACATTCACAATGCGAATTGTGCCACAGAAAATGGTAAAGGTACCAGAGCATGCTTACATCAAGCATACCACATAATATAAGATAAAACCAGGCTACAGTTTTACATCCATCATAAAAAAAGCATCCTGAATCAATAATAGAACAGCATACCTAAATTTCTCTCCCAAAAATATAAAGAAGGAACCAACTTCATGCTATCTACTTGTCTGGATGCACTCGCTTAGCTTTACGACGTGGATGGTGAGTGTTTCCATTTCGAGCAGGTTTATTCGCTTTTTTGCTACAGCAGACAATAAAAGCATGTTACTATCAGCTCCAATACACACATGAATCTAACATCAACAGGACACATATTAACAAAAGCAAATAAGTATATGGTTTTTTGATAAAGACAATTGAGACTGACCAGAAAACAGCTGAAAAAACTTTAGCCAGTAAAATAATAGGCAAGGCTAAAAGGGCAGAGGCCTGCAAATGTGCAAATTGAAAAAATTTGTCAAATAATATAATCGTGTCAATTTCAACAATATTAGTCAGGACATAGAAATTCATTTAATGCATACCACAAACCATTCCAACTCTTTGGTGGCAAGAGGTCTAGTAAGCTCATGCGTTTTCAGTGTCTCCTGGACAGTAGCTTGGACCTTAATGGAAAAATAAAGCTCAATAGTCAGAAAAATGCAATTTATCTTTCTAATATGAATACCATGTCAAATTTTCAGCATTTATTAATTAAACAATAATTGAAAAAGTTACTAGAACTCTACTAGAGTAGCATTGAAGAAAAAATAAGATTCCAGATCCTTAAATTGACAAATTTCAGTGAATAGACATGAAATCATAGTTTTATATATCACACTGATATATAAAAAGGAACTTAAAAAACATTTTTAATTAAATTTGCATTCACCAACATTGCTGGTATGTCTAAAATTAAATTCCGTTATGATCTCCAAACTCCAAAGTATAGCATCAAGTAGCAGTCAAGAAATGTGCACTGATCAAACAATGTCAAATTGCCTTTCACTATATTTCTTTTTTTTTAAAAAATTAACTAAGACTGACTGTAGGAATGGGCAGAGCTATAAGTTTTAAAACACAGAATGCCAACCAAAAAGTTTGCATTTTCAGTTATCTGATAAAATTAGATGCAGTGCAACAGCATACGTGTAAGAAAAACAATAGAAGTGTTGAAGTAAGCAACGAATGCAACAAGGATATGCACAAATTTTTTCAACATCTGAAAAAGCATGAAGTGTGGAACCTGGCCATGATATGTAGTAGCTGTATCCAAAAACTTCCCATAAGCATGAACAACCTTCGCTGTGTAGGGCTTCAAAACCACCTGTACTTTATCAACATGAGGTTTAGCTGCAACAGCAACCTGATCAATGTATGGCTTGCTGAACTTTCTAGCTTCCTGTCAACCAGTAGGGAATACCTTAAGAAATAAGTCAGCAAAGCATAAGGATGAAGTAGTTTATACTTCATACCTGATAATAAGGATCTACAAATTCTTTTGCCTTGCTTAATTGGGGAGAAATTGTATTCTTTGATGTCTCGTAAGCTTCAACAATTTTCACAGTCAATAATTGCACATGAGGTTCAGCATTTGTTTTCACCACAGACCACTGTTCCTTTACAGCTGGGATCCATTTCTTCAATTGAAAACATGACAGAGTGAAAAAGAATATAATTTAATTTGGAATGACTGGGTATGTAAGAAAACCAAAGGTTCTTACAAACAAGAAAACTCCAAAACGGATACCAAATTATCAGGATAAGGGTAAAACATGAAGCAATTCCAATGTCTAGTCACAGGACAGTAATTTCAGTAATCCACACCCACAGTGTAAAAGAGCATGCCTTTAGACCATCATTCCCACAAAAAAAAAAAAAGCAGCAGCAGCATCCCCAGCAAAGCAAATAAAAAACCTGAAAGATGTAAACAGAGGACTTACGGTTTGAATGGTTTCTACATGAGGTTCAGCCCACTTTCCAACTTGTGCCTTTTTCTCCATGGCCTTAAATAAATAGGAAAGACATTTAAATAAAGAAGCCAATAGGACATGCTTGTAGTGGTAATGGAAAAAAAATAATTAAACATCATATATATAATCAATTAACATATCAAAAGAAATAATAGATAAGAAAGATTGATTGCCAAAATAAAAACCAAAACAGTACCTTCTGAGTAAACACTTCCAAAGCAGGTTTCCCATGTTTATTCCAGTGATTCTCAACCAAGGACTGACAAAAAAAAAAAAAAACTTAAAATTCTCAGAACTTGTGAACAAGGCTGTTCCGACAAACCTCAGAGGAAATACAACATATACTCACCTTACTATGAATATAGTGTACAGCAAGCCAAGGTGGAAGCCAAGCACCATGAGCCTGATTATTGACAACAGTATGCATCAATTTAATGCACATCATTATAATTATTCACATAATCAAAACTTCCCAAGAGAATGAAATAGTTTCTCAAATATATTATCATTAATTGTATCAATAAGCAGCTTCTGCTGACAAAATCAAAATGGAAAATCTTAAATTCAACAAATTAACACTTGAAGAAAATAAGAAAATCGTCAAATGTTTGGACTGGTTTTTCTAGGTTATGCATAAAACTGGATTTAGGCAAGGCTCAAACCAGTTAGGCATTTGTTTGGAGCAACATCAAAATCAACAACACGAATCTTCTCTCTCACTCTTGCTGTCTGTGAGTGTCAGACTCAGGCATTAATGGCTGACCTTTTTAAGGTTGATTCACATGCTGGTTTGAATTAGGGGCCATGATAGTTTGATCTTTATATGGCCCCTTTCTGGTGTTTGCTGTGTTTTCAATAAAATTTTGGAATGTCAAATTTTGCTAATAATAGTAGCTCTCTTTCAGTTTACCCTCACTCAAAAATCAAATAAAAGATGAATTATATAAGATTTCAGTTTCTATGTTACGAAATCTATGTATGTACATCTGTGTATTTTTTTTAAAATAATATTTCATATAGCATGTAACAACATCTATACTTTTCCGTACACTTTTACTTGACCATCTGTGTTTTTTGGTGAAAAATCATTTTTGGGAGCCGTGGTCAGTGCTAACATGTTTATCACAAAGTCTGGGTAAAAGCATGCTAAGCAAATACATCCAATCAGTAACAAATTATTTTTCAGAATTTATTGTTAAGGTGTTAAAATTTCCGGTAACAACCTTAGCACTTTAGCTATCTATGTGAATTTTTCACACTTGTGCAAGGTTACAAAATAAAATGACAGGAAGAATTAAAGCAAAATTTTCAGTTTTAGATAGAAGGAACAATGCTGATAATTAACCTGGTCTACTTTAGAGGATTTCAACTTGCTATCAAAAATTTATGCACGTGCAACAGTGTAAGAAAGATAAATGGTTTAGGTAGTCAATTCGGATTATTACCTCCCTTAGCTCTTTTTCTTTATAAGTTGCCTCAAACTTTGCCTTAATCATTTCTTCCTAAACAAGGATAGTAGGTGCAAAACATGAGACTTCCATCAAAAACATCATCAACCATCCTGCACAACATAGACAATAAAATCCGCACCAACATACCTCAGCAACATTAAGAGCACGTTCAGTTTTACGAATTTTTATCTTCTGTTCCTCATTTATCTTTTGAACCTGTGCAGAATGCATTTTACACACGTCACCACATCATCCTAAAAGAGATTATGTTTCAATAATTTTAACAATTTGACTAATAATAGAAGTAACTACTACTAAAAGATAAAACAACATCTTGATTTTGAATTTATTTTTGTAAGTGATATGACACAATATCAGTAAAAATAATTCTTATGGATCTAAAATGACAGTACAATCAGCCAGAGCCAGGAAAAATAGATATTATACCAACTAACATGTCAATAATAACAGCTAATGATATAATGAATAAAAACTAGTTCCGAAGACAACAAACTTGTGATGTAATTAAAGCAGAATTTAACAATATAGCCACATGTTAAACTTACATGTTCTAATTTTGAGTTCAAGTCATCAATCTTTTTCTCTAACTCAACTACCCGAGTTTCCCAGTTCACTTTCTCCTTGTTTTGTGTTTCTAGTTCCCTTTGAAGCTTGTCAACCTGCATAGAGAATTTCAGAGTGTTGACAAAAGAATTATGATCATTTACATGATAAATTACTAGCCTATTCATACATAACCTGCTTCTGTAGTTCACCAGCACGTGCATGAGCCTTTCCAACCTGCTCCTCAGCATCCAATGTCCCTTTTTTCTGAGAGGAAAAATTTAATTTTGAAGGTTTTCAAATATACAAATTAAATAATAATAGTACTGAGTATATGATTCCAACTCTATTAATGTTTCAGGACGCTCCAAGTACAATGAAGTTTGAGAATAACACATTAACATTACTACCGTTACTCAAGCTATTATTATTATTATATGATGTAAGAAATACAGCAACCAATATTTAAAAAAAAAAAAACTCATAATATAATGAAGGGAAATTTTTAGTCAGGTCCAGTCTCACACCTGGAGTGAAGCAATCTCATTCTGCAGTGATTCAATGGTTCCCAGTTTATCTTGAATGAGTTTTTCCTTGTCTGCTATAACTTCGTCCTTCTTCTTCACTTCTTCGGACTTCACAATGATTTGAGACTCTTCAAAATAAAATTAAGCACGACAATCAGCCATAAAAAGAAACCGTCAGAAACCACCACACTTCGACATCAAAAAGGCAAAAGTAAACAAAATAGCGAGGAAATTAAAACTCCTTGAAATTCAAAGGCTAGGAAATGAAACCATGCATAAATAGGTCACTCCAAGGGTAAATCATTAGCCACTCCACAAAAAAAAAAAAAAAAAAAAAAAAAAAAAAACCGTAAACCCGATGTTTTTCGTAACCTAACGGTGTAACTGCTAAATTCAAAACTCAATAAAAGAAGGAAGGATAAAAAGATAGCCAGGCAATTGTTTTGCATAGAACATGAAAACAGACCAAGAATTTGGATCTTGGAATTGAGTTGATCTAATTGGATCTTGATAGCGGAGGAATCAGGTTCTTCGGTGCTTGCTTCGGCCACAACGAAGGCGAAAATTAGGGTTACTGAAAGTGCGAAGACGAAGAACTTCGGAGGCGCCATCGCAATGCAGATTTGCGTTGCCGCCAACAAAGCTTCGGAAGAAAGCACACGATCTCTTCGGTTCTGATATTTATAATACCGAAAGGTATAATAAAAATAGCAAGATTTTTAATTTTTATTTTATTTTCTTGTGAGTGTAAACAGATTTAAATTTAAAATTTTCACCCTGAAAATTAAATAAAGAAAAAGGGAACACGAATGGGGTGGGGGGCGTTGGGGGACTCTAACTAAGCAATCTTGGGCCTTTTCATTTCGTAAGAGAATCTGATACTCTTTTCTTTTTCTTATTGCGGTGCGATGTGAACATGTGGCAAGCGAGGGCTATCAAAATCTAATAATTTATTGATGGTACTATAGATTGATGAAAAATTTAAAATGTAGCAATAAAATTTTTTATTGATCTACTTTTTAAAAAAATTAAAATAGCAACGTGTATTAAAAATTTTAAATTTATTTTAACTTTTTTAAAAAGTTAACTAATTATAATTAACTAATTAAAATTACACATAAAACAAATTATAGGAAAAAATAAATATCAACAAAGTGGTGAACTTTAATGTATTATTAAAATTAGATCCCCGAGTAAATAAATATACACGACGTTGCCTTGTTGTGGGTATCTCGAAATGGCTGTTTTAATATTTATTAGTATATATGTATGAGTGTAAATGAGAGAGGTGGTTGAGTAGTTGTGTTCTGAGGTAGGTGACGACACATGAGTGCTGCCGAGGAAGGATTAGAATGGATGATGGACAAGACCAGCAAAAGTAGTTGACTAATGAAAGAGGATTTGAAAGGGGAGAAAATTCTTTGGAAAACTTCGCAAGCTTGCCAAAATGTTGTTTCTAATCTTTACTTATTGTTGAAGTCAATTAACGTTGTTGGTTGCTGTTTATTTATTAAACGGAAGACGTTGTCATGTTGCATAAAAATTGCTAGTGTCATCGTTTGTGTGGTCTTCGAGTGGAAAAAGGTGAAAATTAACGGAAATTCTATGGAGGGTGCTTCTTCTTTATTCCATATTCAATCACAGGTTAACGTGACAAATACGACGATGACCACAGCAACAAAATCAGCTAGTGTCATCTTAATAGAAAATTAAATATTACTAACGTGCCCTTTTTAACCAGTAATACACTTTTAATTATTAATTAAAAGTGTATTACGGGTCTCCCTCTAATTGAAAATTCATATAAGAGAATTGCCAAACGATTTTGTAAGGTATAAAAACTTTGATTATTACACATATTCAATTAAAAAATAACGTTTATGTGCAAAATTATAGAGTAAAAAGGACTCTAGGGTTCTTTTTTATGCCATAATATCCACATATTATATAGCAACGACCAATATTTAATGCACCGATTAAATCAAACCAACTGTAAAATTAAAAGAGATTGTTAGTGTCCTTTTGGTAGGGACGGTAACGGCTCTTATATTTACTGAGTATTTATAATAAATACTCACGATGGATACACCAATATCCTTAAGTTTTAATTTAAATACGATTGAATATTTATAAAAAATAACGAGTACGTGAGTTTTACATGGGTAAGTATTATAAGTATATATAAAATTAAATTAAAATTTTAGATAAGTATTTTAAAAAATTACTTCATAATAATTTATTATTTATTAATTTGAAAAAATATATTTCTGTTAATAAACTGTAAGTAACGGATACGGGTATAAAAAATCAAGCATTAAACAAGTAGGAAAATAAAAATTAAATTTATTACTTAATAAATATGTAAATGGGTATTTGTAAAAAAATACAAATACGAGGACGGATACTATAACAGTACTCATGATCATTTTGACTTGTGAAAACAAAATAATAGAAGAAAAAATGAAAATTAATGGTCATACAATGTTTTAAAAGGAGAAAAACCATAATGATTGTTTTATATTGAATAATTACGAAATTTTTATTGTATAATGATCTTATGTTAAAAATAAAATATTTTGAATAAATAGTGGAATTTAAGGGAGAATTGAGTCTCGTAGATGAGCCAACTCATAGGCATATATGTGGTAGCTGAATACTTAAATGGCAACGTTGCTCTCACAGCTCAATAGTTGGTTCCCAGTTTTAATTTGCAAAGGGAATAACATAGCAAGATATTTAAACCTCTTTAGTTTCGAGGTGTTATTATTATTATTATTGTATTTCCATCAATATTTGCAAATGAATTTGAATACTAATCAATCAGAAGCTCGTTATGTTGCGTTGTTATATACGTGCGTGATTGTGGTCAGTAAGATTCTTGTTTTTCAAGATGTGTTTAACAATTATATTTAAGGCGAAAATACTCGAACCATAATAAAATGATGAAATTATAAGATTGACACTTTTATAAATAATTGAGTCGTTTTAAAAGTAATAAAAAAGACGGTGAATTATGTTAAAAGTAATAAAATTTATTTTGATAATCCTTATATCTTTAAAGATTTAATATTATATTATGGACTAAGAAAAATATCTTTAATGCATAACAAAACTCATCGTGCTTACAATGCCTAATACAAGATCACTCACACAAAAAAAGAAGAGAGTTTTGAATATTTACAGGAAAAAAAGTGTAAATTAATATTGCAAATTAACACTTTAAAATTTAAATATTGTACTGTTTTATTTTTAATCCTTTGAAAAAATGTACATGGTTTGAGAACTAATTTGCATATAATTTAATGTTAAACTAAATCACACATGCTTTGTACGTAAATTATTTTGCACACATGAAAAAATTTAAAAATTAAGATGTATATTTTTCCAGTTTACCCATATTTAATATCAAATTTAAATAGCAACGGGCTAAGTGCGAGAGCCTAAATGAAGCAATGATAACCATATCAATTTATAATATAAATGTATGAATAATAATTATATTGAGAACTTTTTTAAATGAAATATATCTATGCTGGTATCCTCTTTCACAATTACAAATATATAATAAACTAAACAAATTAAAAGGCTTAATATATGGTTTATCCCTTTTTAATAAGTTAAATTGTAATATAAAAATAGCCCCTTTTTAGTAATGTGTCTAAGTTTGGTACAAATGGTATACTGTCCTATACTGTATATAATTTATTTTAATAGTTAATTCCAAAACAAAGTCCAATCTAGTTAGGACGTGTAGCTCAGCCCAAATATTTTTTACGGGCTAAATCCCATGTATAATTTAAGGCCCATTTTAGTGTAATATTTAGTCTTAAAGATTTAAAAAATCAAAATTAGTTTTATTTTTTGTCTTTACGATTCTTAATTTATGTATTTTTTAGTTTTAAATTTTTAAAATACAAATATTCTTTCTTATTTTTTTAAATCAAATTTATTTGGTAATAAAAGGACAATAAGAGTAAAAAAAATAGGAAAGTAACAATAATAATAACAATAAATTTATAATAATAAAATAATTGTAGTAGTTATGATAGTAAAAATTATGATAATAATAATAAATATAATGGTAATAGTGACAAAAATATAATAATAACAATAATAATGATAATAGTATAATAATTATAAAAATGACATAAATAATTATGGTAAATAAAATAATAATAAATATTATAATGATAATAACAATAATAATAGTAAAAATAATTATTGTGATAATAATAATGATAACAATAATTATAATTTGTAATAATAACAATGATAATAAAAAATTATAATAAAGATAATAGTAATAGTCACAACAGTTGATAAATGATGACAAAGATACTAATAATGATGGTGATCATGTGTATTTTAGAAAAAATGATAGTTAAAATATTTGATTTTATAACTATAACATAAAGTGAAGTTGACTTTATAAATTATATACGATGATATTTATTTTTTAACTAAAAAAATAAAAATATTTTTATTTAAAAAATGAAGTAAAATTATTCTAAATTGAATTAAAAACCAATTTAGCTTAGTTATAATTAAAAATGTTTTGTTTGTAAAGGATCATTCTGCCTAATTAAAAAAAAAAAAACCAGGAACACTAGGGTTCCTGGAGTCTTATGAGCTATTAAAATTATGTCTCAAATTCATATATTTTAGTTCTTAAAGTTTAAATTTTTCTTTGTTAAGTTTAGATAAAATGACATTTATTTTATTCTTTTGTAATATAAAATAATAAAAAATTTAAATTTTTAAAAAATATTATTTTACAAAGTGAAAAACTAACATTTTTCTTTAATTTTAAAGACTAAAATATTATGCCCATATTTAGCAAAAAAAAATATTATGCCCATACAGTTTTGAGGAGGGATTAGTCCTTCCTCATAACAGGGTTTATTTTGAAAGAGTAGCAGCAAACCATTTATCATTCATTGCATCTCTAGTGCAATACTAATAGTTATGCAATATGCCTTTGGAGATCGAATCTGGCATCATTCACCAAGCATGCATTGGACTTTTAAGTCTACCAAATATTCAAATCGCAAAAGTAAATAAAGTAAAATTAGTCCACGTGATATGAGCTACAATTCATGCAGGAAGAAAGCCGACAAATCTTTGAAAAATAAAGTTAAAAAATTGTTGGTACAGCGACAAAACGCGGTTTCTGCCCATACATGTTCTAAAAAATGGTTGTGCCAAACTATCCTTTTTCACGAGTTTGATTCGATCCAGAGCCTAATATTCTAAATTATTTTTTACTAATAAATATTCTGGAGCATTCCAATAGATTAGAGTCAGTGTCTTCAAGGAAGGAAGGTACTGGCTAATGAGACGGAGACTTAACCAAGCAAGTGGTGATATATATATATATATATACACACACACACACTCAGGATTAAAAATAATAAAAAGGGAGTTAGAAACATCGTGTTAAAGTTTCTTAGTTAATCATCTGTTATGGGAGGATTTCAACTGGTTCGTTTGCAAAACTTCATCATATATAAATCCAATATCCTTTAAAGAAACATATGTCATCAACTAATAAGATTGGTAAACCCAAATCAACATAAGGGAGAGGTATACATAAATTATATATGAAGGTGGTGATGGAGAAGTGTCTTCTGGGTAGGGAACATGGTGTTCAGTAATAAGATAAATATATCCCTTACAAAGAGTATCTACTATATGTTCTCTTAAGCAATAAAAACCCGGGAAAGTCATACATTGTTAAGATTCATGGGACCATCTCTTAATTTTCCTAATTACCACAGTTAATTAATAGCAAACGACTTATCGGAACACAATAAAAATACAAAGACATTAGTTATATTATTGTTATGAGCCTTACTGTTCAGTATTACAAAGGCATTAGTTAAAGTCTAAAAGAAATTTATTTATTTTTAATAATTACATTGGGATGTATTAGAAATCATGAGAAGAAATTTATTAATAGCATTTTTTAATAAATTGCTGATTTTAATTTCTTAACTTGCACATTTAGTGCAGTGGTTAGCATTTTCTTAATGTTATTTGTTAATATAACAGTGCTGAGTAAACTTGCCAGGCCCTTGGATATAGCGAACAAAAATTTAATATAACACACGGTGCATAGATGTTATTCCCCCAACGTATTCAATTAACATGCCAGCTGCCTTGGAACTCTATAATGCTAATTAGTAGCATCCAATTATTGTTATTATTTAATTGATATTTAATTGATAATTAATTGCACCATACAGTGGCACTTAAGTGATTTACAATTGAAACAAGGGTGTAATATCATCGATCTAACTATAAAAGAGGTGCCACAAGAAGTTTAAGCTCTGTACCAAAATCTTGCAGTTGCTACCTCTTAGTAATAAATCATAAAATACTGTGTATTTAAGTCTATTGGTTCAAATGGGCATAACAGAAGCATGCTCCAGATTCCTCGGGGACTTTTTACAAGCATTCAAATGCTCACAACCAAGCTCAGTGCCTCACATTGATCACAATCATAGTCCTAACTGCAAGCCACAGAACATGCTCAAACTTGATGACAAGATGGTTCGTGCTCTTGTTGCTGTTTTTGGCATGGAAAGCAATGGAAGAATCAAGAAGGAAAATGCTAAGAAGGTTGTGGAGAAGCTTGGTTTGATATATGGTTGTGAGGAGGAGAAACCCATATCAGGATTTGAGCTAAGTGAGGGTAGCTTGCAAGATGATGAAGTGCCTGTGGAAGAGGTGCTTGGTGAATTGGAAGACATGTCAAAGCGCAGTGAGCTGTTACGTGAAGCCTTCAAAATATTTGATGAGGATGGGGATGGATACATAGATGCAATGGAGTTGAAGAGGGTGCTTGATTGTTTGGGTTTGGACAAAGGTTGGGATATGAATACTATTGAGAAGATGGTGAAGGTTGTAGATTTGAACTTTGATGGCAAGGTTGATTTTGGTGAGTTTGAATTGATGATGGGATAGCAGTTTTTGATTTGGCAATAATTATTGAGCTTATAATTGTATATTAAATAATTAGTTATTTTGCATTATATGTTTCCTTCATTCTTGATTGCAAATTTTGTAGGCAAATCCCATTTATTCTGTTCTTCATGCCTAGTTTCTACTCCTAGAGTTTACACATTTGTTTGTTGAATTCTATTGTACATATAAAATTGAAAATTTCAGCTAATGAATATATTTGTTCCACATAACTGAAAGAACAAAATGTAATAATTCATCTGTTTCATTTTCTTTTGTTTTTCACCATCTCATTAGAACGAAAATATCACACCCTGTTCAATCTTTCGTCTTATTTCATTTTCTTTTTTAAAATACATCTACCATTAGACAAAACCCGTGCATTATGTGTCATTCGGTTTTAATTTATCAACTGAATGCTACCTAAGCATTAGCATGACCCCAATTAAACACCAACTTAAGACATGATTTGATGTCTATTAGATGATATGACAAAGTGAGTTTTTTCTTTTTTTACAATTGCAATATTGCATTCAGAAATGGATAAAGCAATAAAGTCCTTTAATGCAAAACTAAATAGAAAACACTATTTTAACGGGTACAACAAAAGAGGAATCAAGCGAAGACACACTATAACCTACTAATACAATTAGATTACAAGACATAAAATATAATAAAGTTGGATCTAATTGGAAGCTACAAAGGCTAATCAAGTAAGGGTACCCTCAAGGCCAGATAGTCACACAACTCATATCATCGCTTATGACTCCATTGTTGACATCGTTGTAAGTGACATCCAAGTTTCCAAGAGCTGAATTATGTCCACCCATGACACCATTGTATGAGGCATCATTTCCATGGACGGTGATGGTTGGCGAGACGTGTGCAATGCGGCGGAGACTAGTTGTGTTGAGTTGTGGTGATGTGCTCAATTGATTCTGAGTCTGAAGAAGCTGATTGTTTAATGTGGTAAAAGAGTTCCGCGCCACCATATCCTCAGCTAACTTAACCTAAAAGAGGAGCCGATACAAATTTCTTCAGTCATAATATTTACCGAATCAACATCTTAAGTCTCTATCTAAAAAAATGTTACTTAATTCCCCGGAGCGCCACTCACACGTGAAATTCTAGTAAGATATTTTACTCAATTAACAACTAAGCTTCCTTTATTCCTAGTTACTAGTGCATTTTCGAATCCAATTTCTCTAACATGGCAACATAAATGTAATATGTTAGCAAAAATAATATTACCAAAAGCACCTCGTACCTTAGCTCTTAAAGCTTCTACATCTGATTTTAGCACCCGGTTATTCGTATCAGCATCACGAAATTGTTGACTAGCATCCGTAAATTGCTTGTATAGGGTTGCATTTTCCAGTTTCAGTTTTTCAACCTGAGAAATAAAAATTATTGCTTCTTGTGCATCTTACTAAATATATTGAATATTGATGCTTAAGTTTAAGAAGCAAACATCTTTAATGTTAAAATAAACCTACAAATTGATTTTAATTATTAAAAATTTTAGAATACCTTAGCTCTAAGAATTCTAGTATCACTATTTCATTCCCCTGTTTTTCTATACCGTAACAAAGTCCTATTAAATATCCTGCTTCCATGTACTCCTAACAGACTAGTTAGTAGTTACCTGCAACTCAAGGTCAGCCAAATGCGCTTGTTTTCTTCTTCTTGATCTCCTTGCTGACTCGCGATTAGAAACCTTCCTGGAACCATAGTATAATAATTCAAAAATCTTGGGGAGAATGAAAGTCATGTCTAAGTTTTAAACCTTATTTTGACATATATACCTTCTAAGGCGCTTTATATCAACAGGATTTGTGCTCTGTTCACAAGGACCAGCTTCATCATCCTCATCAGACGGCTCAGAGGAACCACTTGTAGCTCCTTTCAGATGATTCTCTCCGCCGTTTGGTTTATTAGCTGACACTGGGCTGCCAACTGGCCAGTTTTGCAATTCAATCCAAAACGTACATAAACTATGTTTTCAAGAGCTGCTATATACTTCAATGCTCCAATACAAACATCGAAGATTAATAATAGGGAAGTTACAAAAATGTAAATTTTTAATGAAAAGGGTATTGCATTGGTTAAGGTTTATGAGGGCATTGGTTAGGATTAAAATCAAGTTGAGGGTGCATTAACAATCATAAGAACATCATCAATAATATTTCTTTTAAGAATTTTTTTTTTATAGTTATTCATCTTGTGAAAAAGTGTTATTAACATATCAAACTGTAATTTTAAATAAAAAGAATTACTTGTTAATTTCTCCGATACCTTAATGACATTAATTAGTATCACCCTTCTTTATAATAATACTAATAATATGCTAAGATGAATAGCATTTGACATGCAAGAAATAATGATTTACAATTTACGTAGTGCCCATATCATCATTACCAGTCCCACTAATGGATGATTGAGAATCAATGGTAGCAGTGATGGTGGAATGCTTGGGAGTGAGGTTTTGGGAAGAAAGGGGATCTGATAATCCACAAGTTGAAAATGAAGTCACCACGTCCTGCAATTACGAACGGCTGCATAAGCTAGCTGGATTTTCGCACAGCATTTGGTCATATAGCACCACAATCAACTTTTTCCTTTTTCTTTTCTTTTCATTTTGCCTGGACAGACCCTTTTTGTTTAAACAGCAATAGGGGCAAAGGCACACGCGAAAGATAAGCTATAGAGGGAAGCAACAAAACATTCACTCCAACAGTCCACAGGCTTAAAATTATACACATCCCTGTATTTCATTAACATAATTGGGAATTTCTCCTTGAGTTTAATTTTAAAGTGTGTAAACAGGACTAAACTATGCAACTATAAATTAATTTCCCCTTTATTCAGGTTGAGCTGCATCTTATTTGAAAAAACAAAAGTGCAGTTAGTGTTCAGTAAGTGTGTGTTCTTCTCTACAAATATTGTAATTACTTGTACTCATTTCACAATCTTTATTCAGTCAAATCAATACAATGATTTTGAACTTTTAAGATGCGTGGCCGCATCAAGTTGACATCACTTGCCTCCTATATCCAAATTCTGATAATCCTATTCAACCAAACATAAAATATATTGACCCAAGTTTGCTAACACACAGCAACCTATTTTCTAAAAGGAATATCTTAGCAAGCTACATCTTAGGTGTATTTTAAAAAAAAAATCAAATTAATAACTTTTTTATTTACTCTTTTTATAAAATAAGTAAGTGTAAGTTAGCACCCACTCACTTTTTTTTTATTGTTAGAGTAAGTTTGCAAGTTACATTTTTTATGTATTTTAAAAAAAAAAAACATAACTATAACTTTAAAATACACTTTTTAAAAAATAGGTAAGGGTATATTAGCAAATTGATTTAGGTCAAGTAATTGAATTATACATGTTTTTTTTTTTTTACTTTAACAACAACACGCTAGCACGCATTAAAATTGACAATTTACACTATCAGAACACTGACTAAAGCTGTAGCCTTTAGATTTTGTTTATAACCTTCATCTCTAATCTAAACTAAATTAAAAGCATATTCGACAATAAAATAAGGTTAATTTTCTAATTAAAGCAGTCTTCAGGTTTATTTTTCTTTATCACCCGAACCAAATGACTATTCAACTTTGTTAATTTTGTTCGACTCAAACAAACTTATTATTTTCCTAACATGCTACACGAAGCAATGACCATTCGGCTTAGTTGATTATACTCAAACAACTTATTTGGATCATTCATTAAACGCAAGCCTTTAGACCTTTTTTAAAAACCTTATTTTTGATACATTGTTACTATAATTTTGTATGTGTTGTCATTTTATTTTTGTTTTGATAATTTATTTATTGAATTTAATTATGTTAATAATCTAAACTCATTAAATAATATAATTATGTATTATTAGATATCAGGGTAAACTTTTTAACAGTAAACCATTTTGTTGGTATATACAAGATATCATATTAAAATTCAATTATTTCGAATAAATATCTGTAGAAGTAAAAGATACTTGAAATTTTATGTGAAAAAAAGGGTCTAAAAACATTGATTAAAAAATTAATGAATAATTTTTTATTAAACTCAAGTGAATGTACATTAAAATTTACGAGAAAAAAAATATTATTACACTTTTAATAGAGTTTTCACTTTTAATTTGGCAAAATAAAGGAAAGGAAATAAGCAGGATCCATAGAAGCTAGTGACTTATTAGTAATATAATAACTGATTCCTTTTCCTTCTACACCTACCTAAGATAGAGTGGTTGATTTGATTTAGACTTTATTTGTTTTAAATATTTTTCTGTCTTGTCAACTGGGGATATGATATTTCAAGGACTTAATGAGCAAATTTAGCCCAATAGAAGCAAGCTTTTCGCCATTAGAAGAATTTGAGAGTATCATATTAATATTAAAGAAATCGAAAAGGGATAACACGCATATATAAAAACATAGCATGTAAAATTTATGCATTTTTCTAATCAATGTTTAAAAATAAATATGATTTTTTTATGTAGGGTATATCATTTATTAACAATATCACCCTAACAATTTACGGTGACAATCCACCTTGAATAGACAACAAATGTTTAAATTACTTTGAAAATATTAATTTTAAAATCACGAAAACTAGTCACATTGAATTAATATAATAAAAATAGTTTCGTGTCGTTCTTTGCTTAATCATTTTGTAGAAAACTTTTCACATTTTTGTTCATTTTAATCCATGGGCGGGCGAAGCAATAATAGTAATAGTACCACTAATCATAACGTCGTGGCAGCTATTGTAGCTGTAATCGTAAAATAATTATCAACATAATTTTATTAACATTAATTTTTAAAATTAAGTGCTATCTATAAAATCACATAATCTTTATTAGAAAACATTATAATTTTAAACATGATAAATTTTCAGGAAAAATTTATTATTTTCATATACTTAAAATCAATTTTAAGAGTTAATATCAATAATTTTCTTATTAGGGGTCTCATCAAGTAATATTCTTAAAAGACTGACTAAAAAAGATAATAATTGTTTTTAAAAAAATCTAAAAACAAAGGGGATCATAGTAATAATACTTTCAACATTTTTATTTTAAATGTCTGAATGAATTGAAACACCTGATAGTAATAATCTTTCTTATTAATATAATTGTATATATACAACCATGTCGATAGAGTGATGATTACAACATACAAGTTACAATCCTTTCCTCTTGTCTCTTAATTTTAAAAAAGAACTTTGATAAAAATCTAGTAAAATTGATGTATTTTAATATTGAACATAGAGAATGAAACTAAATAGCAAAACTTTGTGGGGGAAAGGGAACTAGTTGAGAAAAATAGACAAGGAGCATAATGGTGAGTGACACGATGTTATCCTTGTCACATTGTGGTGCAGAAATGGAGTTGCACACAAAACAAAGGATATATCATGGGACCCACACCAAAGCAAGCAAGACAACAAAAATAAAAATAAAAGAAAGTCCAATATATATATATATATACCCCAAAGTCCTGCGTTCACACAAGTTCCTAACACAAACCCAATAATGAACTTGTCCACATCACCAAGTCTTCTTCATCAACAACTCCCAGGTACCCCCCTTTTTCTTTCACAATAATAATTATTACTTCCACTCACAACAATTCTAAATTATGCAAATCAGTTTATATCAAATTTTCTCGTAAATTATTTATATTAAAGTAAATTTAATATGAATTTAAACACTGTGTCATATTCAAATATTCCACACAACATTTTATTTCTCAATTTTTTTTCCGTTGTTATATTTTTCAGCTCCAAGAGCGCATCAATATTATTAGGTCTTTTTGTTTTTCGTGAAATAGATTTTAGTCTTATTGTTAGTGTTACGGGAACGGGGTTGCCACGTCACAGCGTGCTTGATGACGTGGCCAAAGATGGCTCCAACGTATTAGAGTTGATAGAGAGAGAGAACACTGACCGGTGCGAAATTTTGGAAAGCGGCGATTCCGGTGAGACTCTGATACCGAAGCTCGTAATCGAGATTCAGAAACTCATAATCCAGATCGGACTCCGTCGCTGCCATAGCTTCGATGTCGCCGCCGGCGAGGAGCCAGAACGTCGTGGTAGAGACTGGAGAGAGAATAGGGTGAGAAAAGGGAATGAGAGTAGCAGCTTGAGGGGTATAAATAGAAGAAGAGAAGCGAATGTGCATGTACGTGTGCTGTAGCAGATTATTATTTTTTTCGAAAAATTAAAAAAGAAAAAGAAATGGGCGGCACTTGACGTTAAAACATACCAGAAAGTTTTTGGCGATGTGAAATGACGAAAGTGACCTAAATACGTCACATGTAATTACGTGTTTGACCCGGGACAAGTTAAGGAAGGTTTTCTTTTTTTTATTGTTTTAGGAAAATGAATCTGGACCGTTTATCTCTGAATCCTGGAAGCACCGATAAATGACACGTAATAAATGAAAATTACAGGTGGGGCTAAATTAAAATTGGGGTTGATTTTTATTTGAATTTGGATTCTGCGATGTTCGGTATTGGGATTATTATTAATAGTATGTTTCATTATCGGTATTTGTAAAATTAATTAATCTTTACTTTATAGAGTTGTCTCTTGTATAATATGTTGATAAATAAATAGCATTGGGAAATTCTAACTTGATATTGAGAAGAGATTTGCTAGGAGGGGAATAAGGGGGGGAGGAATAGGACTAGAAAATTGGAATGGCACTATAGATGATTGGTTTATTGGAATTTGGATGTTGGGTGGTTTAATGATCTCTAATTTATTTAGTTTTGTTCGGCAATAATGACAACTTTGTTAGTATGTGAAAATTTATTGATTGATTGTTGAGGGCACTTTGACTTTGGTGGCAAAGAATTTCATTCTCTCAAAAACTCTAAAAGGCAAAATTCTTGTTCAAGTTGAAGCCCCAACTTGCACCTACTGGCTACCCTCTCATCCAGAACAGGGGAGCAGAAAAGGAAATGCAGGAAATGTCACGCCTGGTCGCAATTTTGTTTCAGAAGGAGACATTCACAGCCTCTCACCAAAAGTTCTTTTAATGTTTACAAATTTCAAACTTGGAATCTTATTCAAGAAGAGTAAGTTTATATTACTGGAATTAATCATCTGACTTAACTGTTTTCTTTACTTCTAATTTCAACCTGCAAATCTTCCTACTCGTACAAAAACATTCGAGAAAGAGATTTTGTAAGGTAAAATAATAAGATGTGATATTTTTAATAATTATATTAGTAGTACTAATAATAAAAGTAGTGGTAATAGTTTTGTAATGTGTATGTAAAATAATAATTCAGGCCACTCTGAGGCCAATGATACTGTTGTTTTAAGCTATATGAGATTGCGATCCACAAAGAATAGTAGAGTACAAATAAATGACACACAAAAAGTAAGCACATTATAAGTTTTGGTTCGTTGTTTTCTTCTGAGGATATAAAGCATGAAACAATAATTAATGAAGCATTTGGTGTCATTTGCAAAGTAATAAGGACATTTAAAACAATATTTACCACAGTTGGCAGTCACGCTCTTAATCATGCAAAAGTTCACATTCTTGACTACAAAAGTACAAATCAAAGAGTGGAGAGCAAAGTATAACAACAGGTAAAAATCTCATAAAGTGTTAGTGCCACTATAATACAGCAACCCCCCAATGAAATGCGGTCCAAATTCCAAACCCAACAAAGCCATGGGAACTTTACTTTTAGAAAAGCACCAAAGGCATTTCTGTGCCATGACGTGACTTATCCAATAAGCAGCAATGGAATTGCAAATTATTTTAAAAAAAGAAAAAAAAAGTGGGGTGTTTCTGCAAAGGTGTTAGGGGCAAGGAGGGGTTTTGAGCAATTAAAAGTGGGTTTCTTAAGGTGGAAGATGTGTTTTAAAGTAATGGAGTTTGATTGGGACAAGCACCGACCCAAAGCAAAAAGTTAGTGACACACATAAATGCTTTTATGGGTCGTGTTAGAAAAGCAGGTTAACCCTCGCTTTCTCTCAAAGTTTAAAGGTTACTACTTAGCTTTGCAATATTTGTTTATTTCTAACTTGGTCATTTTCCTGTTATCATCATGCAATACCTAACTTTCTAAAATAGATCACTCACTGCCCTTTCACACACGTTAAAACCACCTCAAGATAGTTTATGCAAGCGTGTCTTGTGATATCTCTGATGGGGACAAATCAAGGGGCCATGGGAGATTAGTAGAATTGCATGTTGCACTTGTTTGTTCTTTGTTGTCATCTACATATATGCTTAGCTTTTATTGACAATGCCTCAGTGTTATGTTTGTACTCAATACAGGAGAATTTTTAAATTTCTAAATAATGAAAAAGTGAAACTATATTAATCGTTGAGTTTTAAGTTAAATGTTTTATAGAACTAACTACTTCGAAAATAACGATGGATAAATTTTGATATTAATTACAAAGATAAATTTTTAATTAAAAATAATAAAAACAGTGCACTTATGTTTTATATTGTATTTGCTTTACCAATTATATAAAGGATGCGACAAATCCTAAAAGCTTCTAGGCCTTGCACGTGCAAGATTAATGTTGATGTCAACACCATGCATCGATAGACATACACTTGCTCCAATAACGCTGTATGTTTGAATTAATGGAACAGAAATCATTATAATAATGAATTATTGTGATGATTAAATACATAAAATATTCTTTAATATATTAAGTGAGAAGTAATTTTGAAATAACTTATTAAATTTAGATTGTATAAATGAAACTTTTTATTAGAGTGAAATTACAAAAATAGATATAAAGTTATGTGTAATAGTTGGTTTTTCATTTAAAATAAAAAATTATAAAAAATGAAATAAAATGATAAAAGTTAACAACAAGAAAAGCTAATAGCTTTTAGGTATAAATTCTAATTTTTTTAATCTAAAATAGGATGTTTCATTTACAAAAATAAAAAATCAAAAAGTATAAAATGATTTTCTGAACATTACTAAACAAGATTGAATAGTATTTATTATATATATATTTTAAAATAATAAACCAAAATAATTAAATCAAAGCGCACTTATAACCATTTTATTTGATTTTATTTTTCATAAAAAACCATTTGAACTTAATTTTTTATTTTGTGTGTGTATTTGTTTAATTTTAAAAAAATAAAACTATACAAAATTAGATTACTTTTAGAAATTACTTAGAGCACTTGAAAAAAATTATAACTAGATTTTAAAGTATTTGTTTTATGATTGTGTCCAGATAAAAAGTAACTTTTATTATATATATTTAAAAAAAACTAATTTAGCTAAAATATATTATTTGTCTTATTTTTTTAGCTTTAGTTTTTTTTTTAATTTAATACTTTTAGTTTTTAATAATAATGTGATACTAAGTAGTTATTACATGTTAATTTTTTATACCAAGCGTTAAATTTTGGTTATGACATGCCCACATTAGAGATAAAAAAAGATTTAATTTAATAAAATCCAGATTAGAACCTTTTCTTGAAAAATAAAAATAAAAAAACTCGTAAAAATATAAAGATTAAAAATATATTTAATTCAATCAAATTTTTACCGAATCACAAAACAATTTTTTTTTGTCTAAATCTTAAACAAAGTTATTAATAATGGTGTTAGTTCAAGATACTTAATACACATGAAACAACAACTATGGTTTGTTTTTTTTTTTGGGTCATGAAATCTACAAGATTGCTTGACTGGCAAGAATTAAAAAAGATTAAAGTAAAGGGCTAAAAGCTGATTATATTCCCAAATAGTTTTCTGATTGAAAAGAGGGAGCCTAAGCAGTAAGAACTAGAGCTCATTGAGGAGGGGTTACTATGACTACTGATTTTAAATACTGTTGACCAATGAAGATATCTGAGCTGTGATAATAAAAATGTTCAAACGTGGGTTTGGTTAAAGCTCTTATATGGGTGTGTATATACTCTGTAACTCCTATTGTTTTGAGACAAGAATAAATTTCCCATGAAATGTGGACGTTTCAATATAAAATTTGTTGTACAAGGAACTCCTAAAGAGTCACAGCGCATAAATTCTAATCCAACGATGAAGAAAATCAGCTGTATTGCTTTCACGTGGGATGTCAGCAGATAATCCTTACAAATCTAATCGTGATTCCATGGATGATGGATATGAACATTACTATCCAAGTCATTGTGGCTTTTAGTAAGGAAGCCATGACCTCTAGTGACTCTTACTCACAAATAATCCTTTTGGAAGCCCAAGTTCACGGCTATATTTTGTGAGTATTCATTGGATTGGTTTGGATTAAATCAAATCAATTTTTGGAAAACAAAAATCATTTGATATGATTATTAAACTATAGTGTGAATTAGTTTAGATTAGTTAAAAAAATAAATCACGGTCAATATGATCAAAAGTAATTTGAATTAAATTGAATGATTCAAGTTTATAATTTTATTTTAAATTTAATTAAAAAAGTGACAAATAATTTTAAATTAATTTATACAATATACTTATTATTCATTAAAATAACAAAAATGTATTCCTAAATAAGTAACAATAAGATGTAAATTAAAAATAAAATCATGAAAAATAATTTAACTATTATAGTTATAAATATATAATGTTATAAGCAAGAGTGAGATGTTAATTTATATTATATTATATTATATATGTATAAGTTCAATTTGATTTTCAAAATAGGATCCAAAATTCAATTCAATAAAAAAATACTTTTTTTTGTGATTTGCAGTTTTCGGTTAATTCAATTTTTAACTTTTGAGTTCAAAGTTTACGATTTACATTAGATTGCTTCAGCACATAAATACCTCTACAAACCGTGTCAACAATTCAGCGAGAAAGTTATCTTCACTACCCTCATAACTAAAAAGCCTGCAAAATGACAATTAATAATTTGCCATCCCTAGTAATACAAAATATTATTTTTATTATTGTTTGAAAATGATTAATTATATTAATATATTCATAGTGTAAACAATAACTCCTGGTTTGTTCTTTTCTTTTCTGGATTCTGTAAGCAACTAGATGTAGATTTTGGGTAATTCACAGAAGTTACAAGGTATTTGATCCAAAATTTGGTCACAATGCATATTAATAACTACCAAGAAGAAAACATCTTGGGTGGCAATGCAGAGACTAGAGAGAAGTATTTATATTCGATGTGCTTTGAGGGGGACAGGTGCGCGCCTATATGAAACGCTCAACTATATGCTCAGACCGGTTTGACGAGCTGAATCCGCCCTCGCCTATCATGTTATGTGATTAAATAATTTCAATAATAGATTGAACAGCATGTTTTCCCAACCCTGCATAATAGAAACCCAATAGACTCAAGACTACAATGAAATAGAGTTTCCAATCAAGTCCATTCAAAATTGAGAAATAACTTGTCAGGTCACGCTTGTAAATTACTCAACAATCGAAAAATAACAATAATTATGTAATATTTTCACGCACAGTATTTGTGACTGCAAACCTAATTCTCAATTTACTGCAGTTTGTTGCATGGGACCAACCTAATGCCTGAAGATGCTGAAAACAATGCCATCAGTCCTAAAAGACAAGATGATTAAATCTAGTATCACACACGTATTCTTATGATATAACACCACCAGAGGAGGTTTCCCACAACTGAGTTTAACGAAAGAAACAAAATAAATGATAAGCTAGTCACCATTACAATGAAAACAGCAACAAGTAATGCGGCATCGGAGTACAATAACAAGAGAGCTCATGCCATTATCTTGGCAGACCTAACATAAAGACTGTCCACGACTTTCCCAATGTTGGAAATGGTCTCTAAAGTTGCAGGATATATTGCATCAGTCTTGGGATCGTCAAATATGACGAGGCATCCAGCACCTTGATCCAATGTTCCAGCAAACTTCTTGTCCAAAATCATCTGAGACAACTTCCGCTCCACGTGATCAATGGGAAGTTCAATAAGCTCAGCAATATGTGAAATCTCAACCCTTGAGAAAGGCTCAATCAATCTGCAAAGATTCTGTTCCAGAAGGGTATCATACAGAGATGACAGGTGCCTGTGGACAATTGGGTCTTCCTCCAACTGGGCCTTATAGTCCCGCAAAGCAATTTCAAACAACTTGAGGGACCGCTTAGAGTGTGCGTCAGCAACAGCTTTCATAGCATCCAAGTCAGGCCCAACATATTGCAGGCCTGCTTTAGAAGAAATAATTCCACCAACGTCGTCAGCTTGACTCACCATGATCTTACACAATAACATATATTTCAGGCTAAAAACAGCCTTGGGATCTTCAAGTGCATTGAAAGATTCAAAAGCTTCAAAGAAATAGCTATAAGCAGTTTTATAATCCTTCTCCTCAGCATGAAGAATTCCACTCTGCAGATCTATGGCACCTTGTTGAGCTGGAGGCACATAAATGGCATTTGCAGCTGTTCTTGCAGCCGTGAGGGCAGCCTTTGCCTTTGGAAGGTTTCTCAATGAGAAGTGTAGCTTGCTTTCCAGTAAGTCTATGTCTACAAGAAGAAGCTTATCATCTAATCTTCTAACCTCTTTGACCAAGCCTGAAAGAAGAGTCAATGCTTCTGAATACTCCTTATTTTCCATCAGAAGCGCAGCAAGCCTTGCCTCAACTCTCTGTCTCAGAAAGGTACGTTTTTCAGCACGAGTCCACAGCACCATTTCTTTGCAGAGTGCAATTTGTAGATCAGATGTCCCTGGTATTTTAGCAACTGAGTCAATTATTCCTCTGACAATCTTAGCGGTTTTTGCTTTAGGTATCAAGGAGAAAAATGGCCTCAACTGAGTGAGAAGGCTGCGCAGATCCTCTCCCCTATTCTCTTGCCTGAGAAGGTCAGTGAGGTTTGTGATGGCTTGTTCCTTCATGCGCAGAGCTTCTGGGGATGATGAAGGATCATCAAGTACACTATAAAGAATAGAGATGGCCTCAGATGGGTCTTTGGCCTCCATTGCCAAAGCAAGTGACTCAGTTGTAGCAGGAAGATAAGACGAAGACATGGTTCCTGTTTTGAAAACTCCTGCAAGAAAATATTTGTCAATGCAGATGAACAATTAAAACTAGCAACTATTGGATTACTATCGATTAATTATCAATTAAAAATTGGATGGCTGTAAAATAAATAGAAAAAGGGAGATGCCTATTCTGGAGAAAGGGAAATAATCAGCCACATGAAAAGACAAGGAGAAATAAACTGAGTAGGATTTAATAATTTTTGCTTTATTATAAGTTAGACCCCTTGCATTAAGACTTGGTGAGTTGTGTCAAAAAAATTACCACCCTTTACTGTTATTCATATTGGTCACAGTAATAAAATAGATGTTTTTCAGTCTTTGTTGCCAATGGCATATACTGTGTAGCATTGGCTACTGCTACAAACATGGCCCCAAAACAGTCATCATAGAACTACAAGTGGCAAGGCAGCCATCAATATAATGCAACACATTAATTTATGCAATACAACAATGAAACTAGAAAAGCCTTTTCCATCTAGATGGGATTGGTCAATGACAGTTCTAGAAATAGTATGAAGTTTATTATACACTAAAAAAATGAAGAGAAATCTATATATCATGGGAAAAAAAAACTACATAAAACAAAAATATTCATCTTAAACTTCAAATAAAAGACAGAGAAGAGAGATCTGTCAGCACCTTAAGAAGAAATTATGGGAAAGGTATAAAAGATTGAAGTTGGATGACAAGAACCTTGGAATATTTCAGAACGGTATGTCTTGATTTTCAGAAAAAAAAAATTAACAATCAACCAAAATGCCTCTATTTAGCCCCAAAAAATATAATACAGTAGAAGTTTTCAATGTCCTTTTTCCCCTGGAGTGGTGTGTATGTTATTTTCATTTAAATAAAATACACACCCCTTGCCTCTTGGTATCACAATCTCATTGGCCAACATAAGCAAAAGCATGCCATTTTTGTTTAGCAGACACCATTTAATTATAATAAATGGAAACCTAAGTGCTATCAGACTGAAGCTGCTAAGCAATTCTGGTATGGAGGAAGACATCATTGACAACACTAATCATAAACGGCTTAAATGAGACATAAAATAGCACTTTGCAGCACCGTGCATGTTGAAGAATATAATAATTTCCTTATTATAAAAATATGAATATAATCTACTCAATCACAAGTGCCCATCACCCCTTCACTTTAAAATTGCCAGGATTGATACTCTTATCCCATTAAGTCTCCAACCACCTTCTGTCATCCCCCCCCCCCAAAAAAAAAAAAAAAAAACTAAGAATAACATGATTATGAAAAAAGGAATCACAATTAACCATAAGCCAATGAAATTAATCAAAATGACAAGACATTGAAAAGATTATTTTAATTCAGACTTAAAGCAGAAAAAGAAAAATATGTAAGGAATGCTTTGGTATAAGTTTGAAGTTGAACTAGCATGGAAGGGGGTCTCTGTAGTCTGCATGCATTAAATGGTGCAAGCAAGTTTATGGTTTAGAATGATAACTCTATATCAAAAAGTAGTAAAACAATCTTCCAAGACAAACAGTGGACAGTCAATTCCAATTTACATCCACTCATTTTGAAACTACTTTATTATTTAAGTGAATACAGAAGAGTAAGACTGACACAAGATCCTGAGGGAAAAAATCCTCACACCAGGCCCCACAAACTTCATCCTGCACAAAATTCTGTAGCTCTCTCTCTCCACATGACCCAATCTTGTGAAAAACTCACAAGAGAGTATCCAAATCCCATCCATTGGAGTAAACAGGAAAGAAAAACAAAGATTAACAGTGCCAGGCACAAACCACAGGTCCACGATGTACAGTCAAATTAAATTCAACACTTGGACAACAAAATTTAGAAACAAGTGTTTAACACGATCACACAGAAGAGTCGAAAACCTAGTTCTTATACACAAAAGCGGTAAATTATGTACTCTGTAACACCAAACACAACATCTTATACACAAGATCACGGAGTAATAACTGAAATCAATCAAATGTTTAAGGGCAGGGTATCAATTTTCTGATAATACATACAACACTGGTATTTAGCGACAAATACAAGTAGAACTTACTTATAACATCATGATTACTAAGAAGGTTCTCAACAAGACAGAAAACCCCAAAAAATAGATCAAGAGAAAGTTAACAAGAGGGTTAGGTTTTCAGATTATTATGTTTTTCCCCGATACTACTTGAATGTTCACACACACGTAATCAAGAAAAAGAAACGCGAATTTCAATCCAGATTATTACATTCTCTCCGAACATCTATCGGAAACTTAATTAAAAATCTAAAGTCAAATCTGGAAAAGAAAATTGACAACAGATAGAAATAAAACACCATTACCTTATCGAATGGCACTGAATAATTCTTTCGTTGGAGGAATTTCGATGTCGTGTGGTATCGTTTTGGGTGCAAACCCTAACACAGAGACGATGAATGAAGGAAGGGTCGGTCACTACTTTCTGCTGCACTCGACACAAGTTTAAACGCACCGTTGCGTAAGTGTGCTGCGAAAGTAAGTAACCGGTTCACTTCGGCCCACCCAACTGGGTTTGACCGGTCCGGTTCAACTAAGTTAATTCGATTCACTTTAAAGGGTGAATAATTGAATATATACTTATTATCTTTTTTATAATAGAATAGAAAAAAAATATTATCCAAGCATTTATTCATAAGAACTTATAAAAACAAGATTAAAATATAATAATTTAAAAAAAGTAAAAAATAGCTTAATAAGTATTATATTGATATATAATTTTTATCTATTTAAGATCCGTAGATATAATGAACGATAGATTTTTTAGTCTATTAAAAATAAATGCCATTTTTATTTATTTTAAAAAATATAAAATTGACCGTGGAATATAAAAGGATAAAAATTAAAATTTAAACAAATGAGAAAAGGGTTATCATGTGATCATTGCAGTAAAATGAATATATTTTGTGTATAGATAATATAAAAAGTTGATAGGGATGATAAATAGATCCATCCAAAATAAATAAATTGAAATGGATAATTTTACTTATCAAATGGGTATAAGTTCAAACACAAATTCATATTTTTTCACAAAATTTTGATAACAAGAGTGCAAATTTCAGCAATATAGTACCCAACACGTGTTATGCCTGCACAATGCACATACACGTATATAATAATTTTAGATATATTTTTTATTGATTATTTGATTGTGCACTTTAGTTTAATTATTATATTACATTTAAAAAAAAACAAATTTTTCTGTGTTTTGCTAATTTATAAGTAAAGACACGTTAAAATATTTAATCTGGCTAAAATATAAGTACTGCTAATTATAAACAGTACAAAACTCTACTACATGTTTGGATATGGATCCATCAGAATCCTAGAAGCCCACTACAACAAAAATAAAATAGGCCCTTCTAATTAAGTTAAGAATATTGGAGTGCCAGCATAGATTAATTTTATCAGCTGTTTCTCGCAAGCTTTTACTCTCACCAAGTCGTGAAGATTCTGTTTACTTAATATTCTCCTACATGAAAAACTCATATATTCTGATCCACCTCGTTTCTTGGTGAAGCCACTTTAGTATCGTATATATCCCCCATTAAACGAATAATTGAACATGAACCACTTAGGAAAGCATGAGATTAGCATTTTTTTTTTTTACTTCTGAATGGCATAAGATCATCTCTTTCACGTACACCTTTTTTCGTTCTTAATTGTCTTAGCTGAGATGATAAAATTACTAATTAAAAAATAATGGACTAGTTGAACCATTACATGTTAACAAAATTTAGAACTTGCAAATGCACAAAGTTGTATATATAATTAGTACTATTCACAACACGTTATTGAACATAATCAAAATCTCTTCCAAAAGCTGGTTAACATACATATATCATGTTGTCTAAGGGTTGAAATGTAAGAAGACCAACTTCATTTCTTATTTGTCACATAAAACTAAATTTTATATTAACTCATACAAAATCTCTATTCTGATTGACGTTCGTCTTTCCCTTAATACCGTTGACCACAAAGTCAAGGTTGTAAAGCACTGGAACCATAGTGAGAGAACAAAGGAACACCAACACGGGGCCAAAGATCCAAAGCAACAGAGGAAGTGCTGCATAGAAGAGTCTGTTTCCAACGGTGTTGAGAATAAAGCCTTTCTCTAATATCTCATTCACATATTGAGGGGTTACCAAGGACATGGGATCCTGTGGGGTGTTGATTAGGATATTCACTTGGTTTATGAACCTTATGGACAAGGAGTGGCAAAAAAATGAGAAGAGAAAAATAGTGAGAAGAGTGACATATTTGAGTGCTACCATGAACTCCCCGTGACCCCCATAGACTGTGTCATCTAGTGGCTTCTTAACACTGTAGCTGCTGCTTATGATTGCTGCTAGGCCTGAGCAGAGGAGAATCGAGGTTGTGGCCATTAGGGTCGAACCCATGATTGTGTTCCGAAGAGATTGCACAGCCAGGATGTTTTTTTTGTCATTGTCCTGCCAAAAAAAAAAATATCATTCGTGCATTATTAGGTTATGTGCTCTTTCTTTTTCCAAGGAAAGCTACGTTCGGTCACAATTACGCGTACCACAAAATTAGTGGAAGAAAACATTATATGATATGACCCTTTCATTTTAGGTCAAATAGTACAAATTAATGAATAGTGCAATGGTAGACATGCACTACATGCTGTAAGCCAGGTCGACTACGAGGAATTGGTGTCCGTTTAACTTAAAATTAAGTAAAACAAATTTTAATGAAATCAGCCTCAAACGGTTGATTTTTTTAAAATATGTATATAAATTAATATACATTTTATATTTTTGATAAAATATTTATTTTATATAAAAATATATAAAATTTTATTCTTAAATTTATAGACCAAACAAGCCCGTAACCTATTTGCAAATGCGATTAGTCGAATAACGCTTTAAAAATTCATGTTTCTATGTGTTTGGAACATGAGATAAGACAAGATGTGAAAACAAGTTAAGAATGCCAAAAAATTAAAGATCAAAATTTATTTATTTATTATTGTTATTATCATCGTATTCTAGGCTGGAGGCTTTACCATTTTTTTTTTGAAATAGTTTCGTATTTACCATTTATTAACCAATCCTAGTAATAGTACCAAAGTTGTCATAACGCATTAAAAATAAAATATAATGAGGAAATATGGGTAGAGAATACACTTACATAACATTCCTACAAAATTTAAATAAAAGAAATATTTTATAGCCACGCTCACATATCACAATTCTTAGATTTCCTATTTAATTTAATATGTTATCATTAACATGTGGATTTGCATGCACACTACTAGGATTAGCTAGAACGCATTTTGGATTGCATATTCACCTAAATTATGGCATAAATAAAGAACATTCCATCGTGCTTTATTTGTGACCAGAAAATAAAATGACATTTTATCTGGTAGGAACAAGAATAAATTAGCAAAACTCAAGTGGAAGGGGAACAATATATTACATGCAAAATGCTGTCGAGAGAAAAAAAAAAAGTATATCCTTTCACTTGTAATTATACTGTTATTTTCATATTCTCCTCTTGCTCTCCCTGTAAATGTCATATGATAAATATTTGCAACAGAAAAATACCTCTCCTCAAGACACAACCAAAACACACACACAAAACAAATATTAAATTTTATCAATTATTTTGATTTGTATGTTGTTTTGTAAACTGAATATTTTCAACTAAGAAGTTTTAATAATAAATAAAATAGCTTTGTTAACAGTTATTGTGAAATAATATATATTAGAGATAAACGGCTGTTTAATAATATCAACTAACTTATTAGTGAATGATTAGAATTAACATGGAATGCATCAGAACCTAGTGTTGGATGTTAAATTTGAGAGGTAGAGCTAAATTAAGATACCTTCATCATGGCAGCAACCCAATTCCGTCGACCACTGGCATTGATACCAATGATGGTTGTGTGTGGGTGAGTTCGAACAGTGTGCCACAGCCAGAAATGGTAACCAATGCTTATAATAAATCCTAAGGGCACCAATATCACATCCAAATAACACTTCTTCCATTCCATCACAGCGTCAGAGAACTTAGCTGCTAGCCAGGTAGCTAATTAACTATCGTTTTCTTGAGGTCACTTATGCCTTAAAAGTAAGCAATAGCTCGTGAAATTTGATATTCCTCTATTCTCTATGGCAATTCCAATCGTGGTTTATATACACATGAAGTAAGGATGAATGTGGACTCGTTCGACTACGACATTCATTGTCTATCTGAGTTACCCCACTAAATTACAAACTTTAGCCTAATATTACATGTGGGGCAACTTTATGCACCTTTAATCACCTGTTTTTTGCGTTTCTACTTTTTTTCTTCCCTATTTCTCTCAATTAGTTAGGGCCCGTTTGCCAGTTGCCTACTTTATATATTTTAAGATTATATAGCATAGATTGATCTAACGTTAAGTCACGTGTGACGATCAATTGGCTAATTATATATACTATGGAAAAAGTCTAAAAAATTTCTTTTAACTTTGTTAGGTGTACATTTGATCACGAAATAACTTTTAAATTGCATATGCAACTCTTATAACTTGTCAATCTGCGCGCGCTTAACTACAAAATAACAACAGTGTCCAAATTAAGGCAAATATATTAATACATGCCATTGGGACGTAATTCTTATTAAAATGCTTTAGAGCCAAACCTTGTGCACATATGAGGGCATTTTGAGTATAATGCATGTAATAATAATAAACATGCTTGTGTGTTTACTTGAGGTATTGAAAATTATAAGTTTTTCACAACCTTATAAGTATGTGACACACCAAATAATGGTTTAATTTTGTATGATAAAAAGTATGTACCTGTAAATTTTAATTCTTTAATGTCTAACTTCGTTTAAATATAAGTCATTGTTAACTGTGAGTGAATTCGAATAAACTTAAAAACAAGGTTAAATGATTATGTTTTTTTTTAGAGATTTTATTTCACGTACAGTCAACTTTTTTAATTATAGGATTTTATTTTTAATATAAATTAAAAAAATCTTCTATGTGTGTAATTTTTAACGTGTATCCAAATACACGTAATAAAAATTTACTTATAATACAATTTTATTGAAAAATGTTTAGGACAATCGTACAGACCCAAATCATTTTATGGTCCATTAAATTGGTACATGTGTAGGCTTTAATATACAGGTTTTGAACCCTTATTACTGTACATTTGCGTGTATTCAAATAAGATAAAGATAAGTTCTGCCCTTGTAAACATATATAAGATAATGTTATGATATCTAGCTTAATTACATGTAAGATAATGTCTCCGCAGCAAGTGAAAATGTTGTTTCTAAATTTTGATTATTAATTAGTATTTTTGTTTCACGTATATTTAATTATTTTTTCTGGAGATCCACCCAAAAAACTATTTTTCCTGTACGTTTATAAGGGAAAAAAAACGAAAATAGTGGATTTAATCTAGAGTCAATGATGATTTTATAATGATAAAGTTTGTGTGAATAACAGGAATAAAAGTTCCATTATTTTAATGATTAAAAATTGATTATATTAACAAATAAAAAAAAAGCAAACAAATTTGTATAATTATTAAAAAAATATGTTCTGAGTATTAATTGTGGAAAAATGAAAGTTGGGAGAGTAGTGGGAAGAAGAAGGGTGGATTGGATTGGGGAGGAAGAGTGAGATTCTGACGAGGCGCACTGTAATATTGGGTGAGGGGAAATGCAGGAGATAAGAGAGGTGCCACTGTGGAACGGGCCCATTGTACAACACCATAACACTAACACTACTATGCTGTGATCACTGGCAAATGCATTCACTCTTCTTCTTTCACATTTTCCATATTACATTGCATGTTCTTTGCAGTGCTTCTGTGCATGCCGTTATCCATTTTAGACACTAACTTCACTACTATATTCCTGTTAAGATCAGTTTCTTAGATTTAGAGCTTCTTAGGGCCTCATTTACTCAAACATTATTCAATCCATTCCAAGTTCCAATACAAGTAAAACAAGACTACTCAGATTCCTTTCACAGTAAAGATAAGATGATAAGATACAACGTATTATTTTCGGTGTTTATTAATTTATAAGATGTGATCATTTATTTTAAATTATTTTGTTTTATCATGATACTTCAAAGAGAAAAGTGATGAGTTCAGAAATATCTTCTTATTCATATTTTATAAAAAATAAATATTTAAAATATAATTTCAATATATTTATAAAAAATATTTAAATAATTATAAAAAAATTAATTATTTTATAAAATATATATTTAATTTGTTTATGATTTTTTGTTTAAATAATAATTTTACCTAAAAATAAATTTTAATTATTACAAATTTGAAGAAAAATATTATAATTTATTATAAAAATTTCAATATTACGTGTGCATAAAAAATTAATTATATATATTCAAAATTTTAAAAATTAATTAAAAAATATTTTTAAAAATTATATTACTTTAATAAAAATATTTTTATCATTTAAATATAATTTATATTTTATTTTATTTTTTGCTTATCTTAAACATAAACAAAATCACACAATATTATTTATTTTATTATTTTGATATACATCAAACATAAAATAATAGTTTATTATTATCTTATTATATTATATTTTTATCCAACTCTTGTATTATAACATTTTATATCTTGATCAAACAGACCTAAAACGTTCATTTTATTTTCTGCCAAAAGTGGAGGATAATAGTATTTTGTATTGTTTAAATGTTTTTATTATTATGAGAGTTTATTAAAAATTATAAACTTATGAGTTATTAACAAAATTTTTAATTTATCATAAATGGTTGATTTTTTTATAGAATGTCAAGCTTTGATATCTAGAAGTATTAAAAAAATTAAAATTAAATTCTATATAGTCACATCTTAAGTCGTTCACAATTTATACATATTTTTGTAGTAATTGTTATAAATGTTAGTCGGGTTAGAGTAACAATTATAGTTGAAATAATAAGGTAGTAAAAAGGGTGAGTTTTACATAATTTGATACTTTTGCTTCTCTTTAGTTGAATTTCTAAGTTGTTTCTTTTTACAAAAATTGTAGTAATTTTCTGGCTTTAATTAAAATTAAAATTTTTAATTAACTCTAATATTTTTTAAAACCTTCCAAACTAACCGCTAAAATTTATCATTTTGTAGAAAACCAAATTGAGGGATAATGTCACCCAAATGTGATCGAAATTAAGAGGTCACTTATCGAAGAGAATATAAAAATGTAAGAATTGTGGTAGTAGAAAAACCCATGAACTTAATGTCTTTAAGATATTTGGGTTAATATATGGTGCCGAATTCATTGCGTGATTTCTTACTTAACCCATAAAAATAAATTCTCCTAAAATATTTACTGCTCTCACTATCTAAGAGATATGTAGAAAATGTATTGAATTACAAAATGGTGACATAAAATAAACAAAAACCATTGTCAAATTAATTTCAAAATTAAACATCTCAATTTAAATTAAAAATAATAAAGATCAATGAAAAAAATTAGGAGGATAAATTGAAAAAAAAAACGATAAAAACAAGAAAGGGAGTATATGTAATTTAGCCTTTGAAGTACAAAAATTCATAATAATTGTAGGGTAAATAAAAACATTTTAATGAATGTACTAGTATACATTATTATATCTTATCTGTCCCCCTCAATTATTTATAGGCTTTCTTTTCTAGTAAATCACTTCCCACTTTAAAAAAGTTGGTCAAAGAGAAACAAAAGTAAGTTCAGAGTAATAAAGACATGGATAAACGAAGTACGGTTTTAGTTTTTCATGATAAACTTGCTAGTTGCTGCGTTCATTTTTTTTTGAAGGTTGAGTTTGGAATCATTGAATTATTTTGATATGATCTAATTTGATGAATGATTTGATTTAATCACAAAAAGGTAACATATGAAGCGACAAATTGCATATATTAGTAAAAATTGACTAAATTGATAGATAGTAAGGCATTTAAGATATGGTAACTGGACTTTAATTAAATTTTCTGTTAATTATATGAAAACATATTGGTAGAGGTTATATATTTTAGTAATTTTAAAAATATATATTTATTTATAGGTTAAATAATACCTTTATCATTCTAAAAAATGCATCTGATCAATTAATTGTCCACTTTAAATAAATAAAAAGACATAACAATGTGATGCATGTATTGTTGAATTTATGCATGAATGTATTTATATTTTAAAAACATTAAATTAATTTAATAAATTATATAAAAAATTACGATGAAATATTTAATATTTTTTGTATAAATTTATTTCTGAAAATTCTTATGTATTTGATGTTTTGCTTGGCATGTATTATCATTTAAATAAACAATAAATAAAGTAATTGATTCAATTTAAATAATAAAAGACCGGATAAAATTAGATTAAATTTTACATTAAATTCAAATTATTCCAAATTAAATAGTATTTTAATTTAACGTTTGAATAAGATAATTTTGTTTTAAAAAATCCAAATGAAATTGTGAATATTCTTCATTGTCGTTTATAGGTAATGAGATTGGAGTAAGTGTCCTTTTCTGCCAAAGTATTGTTTAGACAAGGGAACACTAGGATCTGCAAGATTGTTAAGGACATTGCCAATGAAATTATAAAATTGCCAAAGTGAAACTATTTAAACAAAAATTAGCTTCCTTATAGGACTCAGCTGAAAAAGAAAGGAAAAGAAAAAGGACCCTTATCTTTGCCTCACCATTTACAGAACCTCCCATAACTTTCTTCATCAAAGAGCATAGTAAGAAGAAGAAAATGATAATTTTAAACACACAATGAATGAAAAACTAAAGGGGTTATCCAATGAAACTAGGATGCGTAATGGGGTGCCATGGGAAGTGAGTGGGCAACAAACCTTTACAATAAGTGGAGATATGATGTCCACTTTTGTCCACCCTTTGCCTAGTGCTTCAAGACCATGAGACAACAAAGGCAGCACAAAAATCCTCCTCTTACATGTTCCAAATTCAATCACAAGTGGCCACATTTGAGAAATTCCCTTGTATTAATAAGAATTTTGTTATACTA